ATTCTGCCAACAACATGGTAATTCTGTGTAAGGAAATTGTTAATTCAGATTTCTAATAAGGTGGCATCATCACGTTACATGGTTGATCAAGAGATTTCGAACATGCATGCTGAAATTATTTTCCTTTGTCATTGTTAGAGTAGCTCAGTCAACTTTGATATAAAAAATGTTTTTATTTATATTTTATACACCAAACAGATTCATGAATCCTATACTACAACATAGTAAGCCACACACACACAATGATGATGTAGGACAGACAGGTGAAAGAAAGAAAAGAGGGAGAATAGAGAGATTAGAAAGGAGGGAGAGAAAGGAAGTAAGAAAGGGAAAGGAGACGAGTAAAGAAAAAGAGGAAAAATCTCAATACCTAATATTCGGTTCATAATTAAAGGCTAACTACGAAATAAGATGAATTGAGTGCTATTTATAGCCTAAATTCTAACACTTAAAATTTGAAGCAAGAACATTCTAGAATATTAAAATTAAATGCAAATGCTAATTCATGATAAAAGATAACACCCTAATCAACATTAAAACCAAGCATTTCCTAATGATAGCTAGTATATGAAATATCTAAAATTTCTAATAAGACGTTATTCCATATCCCATCACATAAAATCTATTTCGTATTGTAAAATTCTTGCACTTCATAATCCCACCTGCAATTTTCACACATGTTTGGATCTTCAGTCATGAAGATTGAACTTCCAATTTTGATTGAGTCTCCATGTCTTTATGCATGCAAGATTATTACACAAGCGCTCCCTTTGGGACACAAGTAGCAACAAGTAAACAAATAGATTTTTTTTTTTGGCCTGAAACAAGTAAACAAATCGATTACTAAGACCAAAACGGCCACCATTGCAAATAATTAACAAGTGAGCAAATTTGGCAACATCATTCCTACACCTATGCACACACTTTTGGTTTCTTAAGAATCTCGAGTATCCTAAAGCCTCTTCAAGTTTTTCTTGCCATAATAATTTGTTCCACATCAGAACAACCATGAAAAGAGCGTACATTGAGCTTTTGTGTCCTTTTTGAGCTGCCATATGTATCATATTGAACCCGGTGTATAACTTTAAGTTGCCAAAATATGTTTCCATGCCTCATCTGTGTAGAGATTCTAAGTTAACATTTGATCTGCAACGACTTAAGAATGAAGCTTCTCGTGGGATTTCTTAAAAGAAAGAGACTTTATCTAGGGAAGCATACTTGTATACATAGTCATCATCTGTAATGTTCATTGTCTTTTTAGAAGTCAGTTTAAGGTGATATCTGTCTTCAAGTGATTGAGACAGGACTTTTGAAGCAATCCCTAGAAACATCTCCGTTGGCAAGCAGCAAGTTACGCACTTACAACTTTCTTCACAAGTAGTAATTGATGAAGCAGCCATGATGGTCCGAATTGCAATTAATGCTGGACCATGAAAGATTATAATATATACGAGAGATATATTAATAGAGAAATATAATACACAAATGATTATATATAATAATGCTTAATTTGAATCTGAATATAATGACATAACTTGATAGCTTCTTCATATGGAAGAAGTTTTAGAGAGCGAGAAACAAGAACACACACGGAAACTTGATCTCTTATATCAGTATCTATTTAATTACCCAATTAAGAGAACCTGTAACACACACATATGTTTACAGAGGTGCATTATAACCGAACTAAAACATTATACTTATCGAAGGAATGCAGTCATACATGGTAATCATCAAGCTGCTTTAATGATTTTTAATCATCAAATTTGCAAAGAAACGTTGTTATTCTCAGCATTTTATATAAATTTGAACCAGCAGATAGTATATATGGTTTACTAGGATAACAGATACTGATGGAATTAGACAGGCAAGCTCGATCGTATGATTAGTTCTTTTCCTACAATCTATGCGGTGATATTAGGATTCTAGTTAATAACTAATACTTTTTAGACTTGTTTATGCTGTTCATGATGGGGCTCTCGCTATGTTTTAAAATATTTTTTTTATTGAATTGTTTTAATTCTAGAACAATAAAAAATTATGTATTCGAAAAAAACTGTGCTGATAGATATTTCTATTATATGAGAAAATAAACTCTTTTTGGTCGCCGCTCAAAAAGAGGTGTGGCTATGTATATGTAGACCCACACAATATCCACGGTACACTAGGAAGGGATAAATCATTGGAAAAACCGAAAAAAGAAATCCCCATTAAAAGAAGGGTTAAGGGGCACACTGGTTAGGGTGTTTTAAGGACGGACGGGACGGGACCGTGCCTGTCCCGGTCCCGGTGAACCCTTTTCCGTTTTTTTTTTTTTTTTATAAAAAAAAGATATCATAATTTTTTATATGAATTTTTTTTTAGTTATAATACTTATTTTTTATTGGGCTTTTAAAGATAAAAACATTATAAAAAATATTATGTAAAAAGCTTAATTATATAGCATAAAAAGGTGTAAAAATAATAATTAAAAAAAATACGTAAAAAAAAACACTATATAATGAATTTAATATTATTTATTGAGGAAGGAGATTTTTTGAGATAATACTACAACTTAAGAGCTACAAATCACCATAAAAATAAGAGTTATTATTAATAAGTAAATTGAATAATCTAATAATAATTATTAATAAATAATTTTTAAAAGAAAAAAATCCCGGGATGGGACGGGACGACCCCGTCCTGGGTCCCGTCCCGTCCCGTCCCGGTTACTGTCCCATCCCATCCCGTCCCGTCCCGTTTTTTTTGTTCTGTCCCGAAATTTTTTTGTCCCGTCCCGTCCCGAACTCAGGGACCGGATAGGACAAATGAACACCCCTAACTGCATTAAGTGCACCTAGTGTTTTGAATTATTTGTAGTGCAATTTCACCCTTAAAGTTATTAAATTAGTGCAATCTCATCCAAAACTAACTCTCAGTCAATTTTCACCGTTAACTTACTGAATCACCAAGAATTTGACCAAGTTAATATTAGGTGGCATATAACAAGTACATGACATGGACATCACAGCGAATTCTTCAGTCCTTCATCAATCTTTGAAAATGAACAGATTTAAGCTATAAGAGGCTGAAGCAAGCGACTTGGTGGAGGAAGAGAAGGCATGAAGCAACTAGTTAATTCTAAAATGGGTCCAATCTTCATAAGGAGAGCTACATGGATTATCATGCTAATAGTGATAATAATACAATCTTTTCATGGATGGATTCGAACCGGTTAGTGAGTTTCAAGAAAACGCACAATTAAAGATGAAGGATCCGGGAAAAAAAAATGAAAGCTTTGTCAGATCCAGACCTTTAGCCCCAAGCTTTCTTGTCTTTTCTGCTCTCTCCTTATCTAGATCCAGAACCAAAGCATATGAAAGTGAAATTTCCAATCAGTGGATTCTCTGAGTCCGGCGACGTCCTGTGCATTGCCAGAGGCGCACACGCCACTTAGATCTAGTTGAGTCTGACCTTCCATTGATTGTTTCAAATCCTAGGTTCGCATCTTGGGATTTAGATCTGGTTGATCTGGTGACCTTCCTCCTCATACAATATTGTGATCTTGTCTCCCCTTAATCGGACCTGTTCATCATCTCCAATGGACTCAGATCTGATCCTTATCCTTGTTGTATTAGATTTGCTTGGGAAAGTCTGGATATCTCCATGTCCCTCTTCCTTTTCTTTTGTTATGTTTTTTTTTCCTGCCTCTTCTTTTCCAATCGTGCCTCTCAGTATAATTTTTTTTTCAACTTCAAAAATTGCCAGGTCACGTGCTTGTTATATGCCACCTAAGATTAATTTGGTCAAATTCCTGATGGTTTAGCAAGTTAATAGTTAAAAATAACTGAGCTTTAGTTTTGGATGAGGTTGCACCCAATTTAGTAACTTTAAGAGTGAAATTGCACCACAAATAATTTCAAAACACTGGGTGCACTTGAGAAAATATCTTAACCCCTAAAAGAATTTAGTGAAAAGGACATAAACTAGTACAGTATATGAAATTTACAAAGTATCTATATTTTCCATCTATAGAACTTTAGCCGTTTTTCTCATCAATCCTCAATAAAATTTTCAATAGGTGATTTTTTCCCAAAATTTTCATTAAATAATATATATAAAATATTAGAGTCGTGCATACAAATCAATGAAATATTTTTCTTTCATAAACTACGATATAAAAAAAATTAAAAGTAAAAGCTGTGATTAATTATTGTACTCCTTTCTTTACGCAGAAAAAACTTATATAATATTAATTACATTTTTCTTTCTTAAACATAAATTTTTTATTCAAATCAATATGAATGAAACAGTCGGATGGCAATGATCGAGTTAGTAAAGAGATTCCCTTAAGAAAATTAGGGTTTTAATAATAAAATCCTCATTGTTTTTCTTCAAATATGTTTTGTTATGCGTTTAGAAATTACATCTAGATAAAAATTTAAATAAAGTACTTTCCGGTCATCGTTTTATTAATGATCATGAAAAGTTTATCTTATTTCATTTTTATCATGTCAACATCCGAAAGCAAATTTAAATAGATATGATATATCAGCCAAGCATTAAGTGGTATGCTAAGTGATATCTTGACATTCAACTTATAAGTGGGCACATGGGGGAAAACAAGTAAAAGACCCTATCCTAAGGATTTTTTAGGATTTAATGAATTATTAAAAAAATTTAAAGGATCCCTTGCATATTTTGAATTAACCTAAGGATCTTTTAAATTTGCCACGAGATTATCTTTTAAATCAACATATTATTATTTTTGCCCACTTGAAGGCACCTATTTTGTAAGGCTATAAGCTATTTTCAGGGGACCGATGAGTGAATCAAATTTTCTTTAAAGTTGAAAACTTATGCGATCGTGGTTTTGGCTAAATACAATTAAGATTTCATTAAGAGATCGATATCCTCTTGTGGTGCAATTCTTATAATTGGGAATCTAAGGACAAATTCCCTTAAGTGGTGGGAGCGTAAATGTTGATGGATAGCTAACCTTAAACACAAGCATTATTCTGTAGATGCATAACTGCGATATATTTCATATGAAAGACTTGTAATTTGTGAAACACAGAACAGAAGCACAAGGAATGCTCAAACAAAACTGGAAAATTATTATCTATTCGAGCGCTTCAAACAATTGAGGATCATTTCACTTGCTGTTGAAGTTTCATTTTCTTTTGTATTCTATTCACCTACTCACTGCCACTAGATATTCCTCCCCACAAGCACATTTCACGACGTGACGGATTTCCTGTAAAAAAAAAAAAAAAAATCAGAGACTTCTATCAACGCAACGAGGAAGTTCAAGAGAGTTCGATTTTCAATTTTTCATATAAATTCTGAAGAACTCAACTCAATATTGACTTTAATATTTATGTTTTGCACCATGTTTCACCTCGTATCAGAACTTTGTAGCTGATGGCAAGCTCTCTACCTTGTATAAATTACCAACACATAAATAATTCTCCCTCCGGATCTTATACACACCCTCTCCAGCATGTTTCATAATATATATAACATTTTATTATTCGCATTAATTCCTTTTCACCTATTGCTAGTATCCCTTGCTCATATAAAAACTTCCTAATTAATTAATCAAAGTCCTCTAACTAATAAATTTTATTGAGGGTAATTTTGATATTTTGCAATAAATAATTAATTTTAATTAAGTTCACTAATTTATGGGAAATTGTTATTAGGTGCTTATAATAAGGATTGGAAGGAGTAACACCTTGAGTTTCTGAACTTGTTCCTCCAAAGACTTGGTACTCGATTTCTCCAGCTTTGTCAGACATGAGGGCATTATATTCGTCTTCAAGAGTTGTTATGTCTGCTTCTTTCAGCTCTGACTGGAGAAACTCATGCATTATTTAAGAAAAGAATTAAATAAATATATACGAGTATAAAAAATTATCGATTTAAGTCCACTCGCTGATCTTTTTAAAAGAAAAAGGTAGGAATCTTATTCATATAAGATTAATCTATACCCATATAAAATTTATTATAACTATTTTCCAGCCAGGAATCAGCACGAAGGACCACTGTAATACTCGCGCTTATGATACAAATCCCTACAAAATAACAACCAACCTTATAAGTATTTGTTCTGTCTTCATATCCTCCGTAGCTTGTGTCATCTGAGATGCAAGAGAAACTCTTAAAAGATGCAAAGAAAGTTTATAATAAGAAACCATGTTTAACAGCGCAGTATATACTATAATAGTGATTGTGATATGTCTTTTTTTTGTGTGGCAAAAGTGTTAAGGAATTGAAAATCTTTCTCCATGACTGAAGAATAACATTTGCCAACAACTGCAGATAAAACTTTCTACTATGTGGTTGAGAACTGGATATATTAGCTCCAACCCTTCTAAGTGGAAAAGATTGATTGTCAAAACAGAAATATCTATTTTAGCTAACTGTAAAGGGGCCAAAAAAAAAAATCCTGTTAACATAACAAAGAAAATAAATCAAATAAAAATCAAAGCTTTCTGAAAGCTTGAAAATTGGACCTTCTCTAACGTCCAATTTTCGCATCCAGCAAAATTATTAATAACTTATGATGTAAACAGTTTTGCCCATGACTTGAAAAAACAGATTTTGTAAACAAGACCACTCACAACTTGGAAGTAAATTGCACAAAATGGGAACAACAAGAAGCCAAGGAAGAATGGTGAATGCTATATCGACAAGTTTTACTTTTTTCTTTGTAGTTCTGATGATCAGGTAAGGAAACATTTGACTACCCTCTCATTTGAAACAGTATTTAATCCCAAACTCACTAAGATTTGTTATTTCAATATTCTGCCTGGTTACTTTCCAATACATAATTTAGAAATACAGAATGACAACATTCTTCAATATATACATACTGGTGTGATTAAATTTTGTTTTTCAATACCTCAGTAGTAATATATTAATGATTTCGTTACGGAAATCATTGATTATCACTTTTTTACTATTATATCATTCTATTTTACGAGTATATGACTTTCTTAGTTTATGTAGCTTCATCTCAACTATATAATTCCTTGCAATTCACAATTGCAGCATTGGTTCTGCTGCAATTTGGTTTTTGTGCTCCAACGTCACTCATGGCTTAATTGAACTTGTGATTTAACTCCTCAGAGTACTATCTAAAATACTCTTCTGGTCCTAAATATAAGACCCTTATAGTATAAGCAAGATCAAATATAGGACCGGAGGAGTTTTTTTTTTTTTGTCCCCTGCATGCTTTCAAAACAAATTAGTATAAGGAAAATCAAATATAGAAGAAACAACCAAAAACTTATGTAATAAATATCTTGCTATTTTAAAGGATTCAGATAAGGAACCCTGCTATTCTCTGCAACAAGATTGGATTTCAGAAGTAAAATCTCATCAAGCCTTGCTTTAGCTGAATCCAACTGGGTCCTTAATCTCTTCATTGCATCACTCGCCTGTTATACAAAGGTAAATTACCTGATTCCAACTTCAAGCATTGTATGACAACTCATCAATGAGAGAAGTGAATTACCAAATGATCCATCATAAAGTCGTTGTCAGCATTTGCCTCCCCTGCAAGATATGTTTAAAAAAACATGGCCAGGGTATCAACTTTAATTTAAGAACTTCACTTTTCATAATGCTTGTAACCCACAGAATGGGGTTGCTTTCCTTTGCCTTCGAACTTTTTTAAAACTACGCTATATGAAATCAACAATATTTTAGTTTAGCGATTCGTTAGTTGAATATGTGATATATGCTTGAAAATAAAAGTATTGATTTACCAAGAGTTTGAAAACAAAAACCTAAAAAGCATTGTCAAAGCAGGCACAACAAATAAATCTGAAACATGCTCAAAATAGGTCAGTCTTGCCTGCAGATATGCCCCTTTGTCCATCACCTATATCCTTCACCTGCATAAGTTAAAATTGACAATTACTGGTAGAACATAGTGAAATTTACTTATTACAGGGAAAAAGCTGACAATAATCCTCCAGAATGAACAAACTTAAGCGGTACATTCACCCACATACCAAGCTTCTTATTTTCAAAGATGCCGAAAGATGTATAGGTTTATGACTTTATTCTATATTCCACATATTCTCTTTTAAAAAATTGTATAGAATTAGCAAAGACGTACCAATTCATGCTCCTTTCCTTGTCTGCCCTTTTTCTTAGAACTAATCCATTCCTGTCAAGGATTTAAATTTAATCCACAACTTCAACAACTAAATGAAAACTCACCTGACAAGCAATCATAAAATTAAACCTGTTGTTGCAGTAATCGGGCATTCATATCCTCTTCGACCATTCTGTAGAAAGCTCTGATAGAGAATAACATTTTAGAGGGGGACGACATGTATAGGGTCATTTATGTAGTATCCTCAATTTACCTCTTCTCTTCAAGTTTGGTAGATAACCCAAGTCTCTCTTGCTGAATAAGTTCAAGAGTCTGTTGGTCGAAATTCATCAACAATACCAGCAAAGACAGCATAAGGTGTCAGATTATTTCCCCTTCTTTCCCTCTATCTTTCATTTCTAATTAGGGATCAGATTAGTCATCCTATCTTGGGAAAAGGAATAAATGTGGTCATAGGGCATCCAAAAGCACACAATACAATATCTGAGTTTTGATTCATAACCCTCAAATAATTTTGCATTTAAATAAATTGAAAGTCATATCAAAATACAATTTTTAAAGTTATATTTCCTTCATTTATTAGTGAAATCTTAATATTCTAGGTTGTCATACTTGAGTCCTGCATTGGAAGTTAATGTGTTTGGAGGAAATAAGTACTGAAAATATGGACTAATCAAATGAAAATACTCTCCACAGAGTGTAAGTCATATGGAGGTATACCCAAAGTAAAGAAAGAGATCCCTCGCTGTGCATTAATTCACTCACCAGACTTTTCATACTCCTATACAGCCATCTCTCACGTATATGTTCTTCTCCACTCTAACTGTCAATCTAAAACCCTTATCCCACATGTTCTGCACCTAAATTCTACCATGGGGCTTTAGGCCCATGTTCAACAGTGTTCAAGCAGTACTGCTCTAACCATGACAAAGAATATTTCATTATGCTAGTTGAGGGGGGCATGGATTTATAAAAGATATACGGCTAGCTCAATGCAAACTTTTATCTCAACATATTTGAGCTGGATTGATAAGTTTTTGGTTATCTTGTTTCTCATTTATTTAGTTTTACGCACTCTTATAATACAACTATAAAGAATAAACAAGTTCTTGTCACATTCAATTGTTGTGAAAAGGCCGACACTCCCATGACTGACGACCAAATTGCTATTCAAGGTGGTAAATCAACTCAAAAAAATGACATCTCAATATAGCAAATGCAAAGACAAAATGAAATAAGAATAGGCAGTAATTAGAGATAATCTTGAAAATTGGGCTAAAGCCCACCGAGGATGGTCCTCTCAGATTTCTAGTTTTAAAGCGACCGCTATCAAGACAACATACTGGATAT